TGATGCTGTGGAGGGATTTGCACTGCTATAGGAAGAGTTCGTGCTAATTTACTACTGGAATGTATTCGTGGATAGATAGGATACCGTAAAGGAATCTGTACTCTTGTATTGTTGGTAATTTTTCGTGGGTTCATATGATGCTGTGAAGGGATTTGTAACACTCTAATACTGGCAGGTATAGAAAGGATTTGTAATGCCGTGTAATTGGCATTTATTCGTGGACTGATAGGATACTGTAAAGAAATTTGCAGGACTGTATTGTTAGTAAGTATTCGTGGGTTTAGGATGTAAAATGTACTTTTGTATTCTTGACAAATAGTGATGCCATGTTGTAAAGGGATTTGTACAACTGCACTGATGTCATGTATTCACGACAGGTTTGGTCGATCTGCCCAAGCCACGACTTCCTAGGTCGTCCCACAGGCTTCCTCCACCCAGGGCTGTCTCGAACAGAGACAACCTGATGGGCAGGATCATCCTGAGGAATGCGAGCCAGGTGGCCGTATAGCCTGAGTTTGCGATCACGAATTGTGCAGATAACAGGTCCTGTGCCAATATCACGGTGAAACCGCTGGTTGGACACATGGTCCCGCCAACAGTACCCTATGATCCGGCGCAAGGACCTATTACAGAAGACATCAAGACGAGACTCCAAGGCACAGGATAATGTCCAGGTTTCACTACCGTATAGCAAAACTGACATTATCAGGGCCTTGAAAACCCGTAGCTTGGTCCTTCTGCACAGGTACCGACATCTCCAAATACTCTTGTCGAGAGAGTTCACGACCCCTGCTGCCAGGCCAATCCGTCTGCCGACTTCCTGGTCTGACAGCCCAGGGTTATGAACTGCACTACCAAGGTATGTAAAGCTCTCTGTGACTTCAATGCCCTCGCCGCAAGCATGTTCCAACTGAACAGGTTCTCCTAACAAGTCCCCAAAGTCCTGGATCTTGGTCTTGGTCCAGGAAACCTCTAGACCCAAGGGCTTCGCTTCATGACTAAATGCATCCAGAGCCACCACTAAGGTTTCCAAAGACTCAGATAGAACAGCAAAATCTCAGCAAAGTCAAGGTCGGTAACCTTGATATTGCCCAGAGTTGCTCCACAATGACTTTGAACAGTAGTTTTGCCCAGTATCCAGTCCATGCAAGTGTTGAAAAGTATTGGTGCAAGGACACAACATTGCCTCACTCTTAAAATAACAGGAAAGAAACTTGACAGGCCCCTTCCACACTTTACAGCACTTTCAGTACCTGTAGGCCTATGTAGGCCTATATGATGCCGTAAATGAATGACTGGGAGAGGTTATTTGGCTGTGCATGAAAAGTAGAGGTTTTCGGGAGGAAAATACACATAAGGAAATTATGCAGGTTGCTTGGGCATCGCATAATATAGGGCGAGTATTCATGGGTTATAATAAACTGTACCAAAAGTACTGGTGGGTTTTATTGTGCCGCTGAAGTCAAGAAGGGTTAAAATCAACAGCTTTCAGTATAAAGTTAATGTTTTGTAAAAGTAATGGTTTCGGATTTTTTAAAGGTATCACAGGGATTTGATTATGCTTCACTCCTAACCTCAAGGATTCTACTTCTTTCATCGTAGTAGAAAGAACCATCACATATACAAAACATTAGAGTGAACACAACATACACATAACCTCCAAACCCCGTTCAACATACCTCAGAATTCTCACCACATTAGCGGTCACATCTGCATCGTGGGAGAAATGTTGCAGCAGATTGCACACCTGCGGCACCGCCCCTGTCACCAGCAGGAGGGGGAAAGTCCTCTCGCAGCTGCTCACGTGGCGAAGGGTTCCTGTCAGCTGCACTAGGGCGTAGTGTGTCTGTTCGGGGACACTTCCGCTCTCCTGCTGCTGCTCGGAGGGAAAGGGTTAAGGAATTCGTTATCTTAGGATTCTGGGTTGCGTGGAGAGAGGGTATTTCATGCGTGCGTCGGTGGTTATTGGGCTGTGTTGATTTTGTTTTTGATTATTTCTGTTATGTTCTTTATCGTGTTGTCTCGCTCCATTCTTTTTTCTGTTTGGCAGTCTGTCTCTGTCTCTGTCTGTCTCTGTCTCTGTCTCTGTCTCTCTCTCTCTCTCTCTCTCTCTCTGTCTCTCTCTCTCTCTCTCTCTCTCTCTCACTCACACTCATCTCAACTCTCTCACTCACATCTCTCCCTCACTCACTTTTCCTCACACAACCTCATACTTCTCCACATACTCACATGGTTGACGATGAGCTTCATGTGCAGAACCAGCAACTCGAGCACCCCTCGGTTCAGGAGTCGAGTCACCAGCTGGGAGTTCATGGTGAGGAACTTGAGGGCGCCGTAGCCATAGACACACGCCTCGGGCTGCTCCAGGGGCGGGACGCAAGCCACGGCCTCGAGGAGTAGGTCGAGTAGGTTACCCTCGAGGAAGAGAGCGTCGTTGGCGTCGTGGCGGGTTACTTTGAACACGAGCTTGCAGACTGAGGTTAGGTTGCTGCCTGACACT